GCAGATTGGGATTAAAACAGCCCTTTCCCAGGGCAAGCGGGAGTGCAGGGGCCAGCAGGGGGTGCTCAGGGCTGGCCGGTCCTTCTGGGAGTTCCCGTCACCTTCTTGCAGCACCCAAGTGTGGACTGCAGGGCCCACGTCCCCTGGGGCGGATAGCTCCCATGGGGTTCCTTGAATTGACACGTGAGGTGGTCAGAACGGTCCTGGGCCCTCCGCGGCCACTGCTCTTCCAAGGGGCCTCGGTTTCTGCCTCTGTGAAATGGGTGGAGAAGCAGGACCCTGGCAGGGCTGTGGCAGGGATTAGACACCCGCAGCTGAACGGTGGTCCTTCCTCCTCTCCCTCCAGCTCCGGCCGGGCCTGGCCCTGGCCGTGGGGCTGGGCTCCCTGGATGGGGCCAGTGTGCGTGCTTTGGAGCCTCGGGGGAGGAGGTCATGCCCCAGACGTCCTGCCAGAAAACAGGCTGAGGGACATGGCTGGGAGGGGGCAGAGGTGCATGCACACTGCAGCCGTCCTGGGTACCCAAGCCTCCAAGCCTCCCCAGCAGGGCGGTGGCCTGCTCCCGTCCTCAGCCTGCTCCGCCCACACCTCTGCTGTGAGTCCAGGCTGCAGGGCCTGGGGGTGGGGCTGCGGGTCCCGTTCAACCGCGGCTCCCCCCACAAGCCACCTACACACTGCTTTGCTCCTGCAGGTCTCCCTCGGCTGGTGGAAGCAGCTCACCTTCCTTCCACGAACCAGGGGACTGGAACTGGGAGGTGACTTGCCCAAGGTCACACGGCTAGCAAATAGCAGAATTGAAAGTAGCCCTAGGGTGGCTGGTATCAAGCCCTCCGTCTGTCCACCTTTACCTGCTTCCCTGTTCCCGTGTCCCACGCTCAGCTCTGGTATGCCAAGGGCATGTCGAACAGGTCACCTTAGAACCAAAGAGCCCTGGAAAACTTGTAGCCTGGAGTCTTCTTTTTGCAATGGGAAAGCTGAGCCCCAGAGAGGGACAGGGAGTTAGCCAAGGTCACACAGCACCCTCGCACTGGCATGGAGATCATAGCTCAGTCCCTGACTCTTGGTCCGTGTTCTTCCCTCTTGCCCTCCACTTTTAACGGACACCTTCGCCGTGGCACTGGACATTGACACTTCTGCTTAGTTCAGTGGCACCTGGACCAAGGCCCTGCCCTGCCCCGGGGGTGGGTAAAAGCAGACCCCAGCTCTGGAGAGAGCAGCGTCTTCCTGTTGCTGGGCCAAGCACCGTCCCCACCCGCTGAAGGCAGATCTGCCCGCCCCAGACCTTGCAGGGGCCTCGGCCTCACAGAGGCAGGGAAGAGGCTGGGGCCAGGCCCAGGCCAGAGGCCGGGGGACCCGCGGGCTGCACAGGTGGCCCCGCAGGGTGGGAGTGCCCGAGGGCGGGCTCCAGACCACCCTGCCTTATGACAGATGGTAAAACAGGGACTGAAAGAGGAAGCGGGAGCTTGTGGCCGATTGGAAACGCTGACCCCGGCCTCCCGCTTCCCAGCCTGGACTTCTTCACAATAGACGAAAACGGCTGCTGAAACGGCTTTAAAAACTAACCAGGCCAAGCACCAGGTATAAGGTGACTCTGGGGTCTCGCTGCCCTGGCCGTCCCCGTGTGGGATGCAGAGTAGACCCCTGACGTTGACCTAGAGCCGGGCTCCCAGCCCCGGCCGCAGGCTAGACCCTCACAGACCCCGAACCCTGCTGGCCCTGGCTCCAGTTCCCAAGGCCTGCGCTCACTGGTCTGGGGTAAGACCAGAGCCTTGGCTACAACTCTTGAGAGTCTCTCAGTCAGGCCTCAGAACCATCTGCTAAGACGATTTCAACAGCACATAACAAAACTCAGCGAATACTGGCTAAACCTCCAGAACTTTCAATCTTTATCTAACAAATAGGCTGGGGTGGGCATACTCAGGACTGGTTTGGTAGCTCAATGACTGTGAAGAACCCACAAGACTGTCAAACTCATTTTATCATTCTCTGTCAAACTCGTGGTCACAAGAAGGCTGCCACTGCTCCAAGAACCAAGTCCTCCAGGTCGAATACAGGGACTGGGCCTGGGAGTCATTTTCTGCCCTACCTCTCTTGTTTTGTTAGGGAAGAAAGTCCTTCCTGGGAACATCCCAGCAGAATTTCTGCAAAGCTCCTTGAGCAAAACTAGGCTACGATCCCGCTGCTAAAAGACTCACTGACCAAGAGGGTGGGATCGTCCCAATTGTCTTGGAAAAATCATGATTCATCTGTGGGACAGGGGACACTGCTACCTGCACAGAGCCTGGGAAATGGCCACTGATGGGCTCTGCCACACCCCCTGGTAGTGGAGGCATTTGCTGAGATGAATCATGGGCTTTAAGCTCCTCACCTACGGTGCTGGCTTTACAGAGCGTCCAGGCTCAAGTCCACACTTCAGCTCCTGGCTGCAGCTCACCAGGAGGAAGTGTCTGCTTTGCAGAAGATTCCAGTAGGCTTCCCAGAAGAGGGGCGCAGCCTCGGCCTGGAGAAGTGAGGAGCCCGCAGTTCTGAAGGCCAGGGTGCAGGGGGCTTGGAGGGGCGTGGGGACCAGATTTTGAAGGGAAGCAAGCTCAGCTCTACCGTGCTGTGCAGAGGGAGGGGGGTCTCTGTGAGGTCTGCCTGAGGCTGGAGGCCAGGGCTGGGCAGGCCAGGGCAGAGGACTGTCACTCTTAAGGCTGTGACAAGGATAAATCAAAAGAATTCTCTAAGGGGCTCAGCAGGAGTCTATGTGAGTCCCCTCCCCCAGGAGGGTCCCCCCTCCAGCCCCCTCTCTCAGTGTCCCCTGCCTCTGCCTCTGCCTGCTGGCTGCCCTTCTTCAAGAGGTGGTTCCAGTCACCTGGGCAGCTCGGGGACTCTGACTTGGTCGGAGGCGGGTCCCACGCTGCTTTTCAGTTCCGTCTGCTTTTTAAGTAGCTGGGCTGGGCCTCTGATGCACGTCCACAGAAATGCACAAACCATGCGCATTCAGGGGTCCTACAGCCACCTACACCCCACGTGACCTCCCAGATGGAGGGAGGTGCAGTCCCTGGTCTCTGGGGTCTCCCAATGTCCCTGCCACTCAGCTCCTCCCAAGGAGAATCATATTTTGTGACATCCATGGCTGTGGGTAGCTGTGCTTGTCCCAGAGCCTTGTGTATACGGAGTCACGTGTCCCTTCGTTCTTACCTGGCTTATCTGGTCCATGTTAGGCCGACGTGGAGAGGTCCACCCTGGTGTGTGGAGGAGTTTCTCTGTTGTCGCGGGTGGGTGCCCTCCGCCCGTCCCGTAAGCGCACCGCCAGGTGTGAAGCCATTCAAAGGCTGGCGGACGTGTGGGTCCTGTCCACTGGGCTGTGGTGAAGAGTGCTGTGTGAGTACTCCTGACCTGGTCTTTGGGGAGCACTTGGCTGTACCACCAGGAGGGGACTGTCCAGGTGACGTGGTGGGTGTGTGGTCCAAGCACCATCCATTTTCCAAAGCGGTTTTACCGTGTCACTCTCCTCCCAGGACGTGTACCGGGTCCTCCCCGGCACTTGGCATTTTCTGGTTTTCTCGGAGCTGAGTAGGCACGCTGCCAGTGCTGTGGATCTCAGCCCCGGCGACCGCTGAGCAGGGCAGCCTGCTGGGCGGGCTCCCTGGGCGGGTTGCACTCAGGCCCCCCGCCCCCCCAGGTTCTCTCAGGGGACCCGGCTGCAGCTCCAGGGGAGTCTCCTCCTTCTCCTGGTGACGGTGACAGAGGGCACTGCCAGAGCTCTCCTCACCTGCCGGCTCGTGTTGTGTCCTCAGGGGCAGAGCCAGCCAGGTGGACGTGGACCGATATCCACGCTGAAGGGAGGGGGCCGCTGCTGGGAGGAGGGGAGCACATATTTGCTGATGGAGTCCGGGAGCACAGCCCCGGGATCTGGGGTGTCTTCTTAAGGCCTCACGTGAACCGTGACCCACCGTCACACGGAAGCCAGCCCGTCGAGGCAAAATCGGGCTCAGTTGGTTTTATTTCATTTCCTAAAAGTGGTTGACTCAACCAGCTCCGATCTCTTTGAGGCCTTTTTACTCTAGAAGAGGGTCCCTGTAACGAACACGGCAAACCCTTTTAATGGCTGATTTTAGCCAGGCAGAGAGAGCCGCAGCAGCCCGCCTGGGTCTGATCCGTCTCTGGCCCTCCCAGGCCTCCCGGGGAGGAGGAGTGCAGGAGGCCAGGAGCGGAGGTCCTGGGTGCTTGGAAGGGAGGAGGGTGCACGTCCTGGGTGAGCTCTGTGAGGCTGGGATGGGTCTGCCGGGTCATGGTTGTGTATCCAGTACTGTGTCCCCAGAAGAGTGCCCGGCACAGAGAAGTGGCACAGCACGTGACCTTTCAGTTGATCTCTGTGTGCATCCATGTTTAGATAGGCTGCCTGAAATAAGGAAAAGCCATGAGTCGGGTGGATGGATGCCCGGATAGATATAGGTAGGGTGGACGGAGGGAAGGCCTGTGGGTAGATGGGTGAGTGGGTGGACAGACAGAGGGTGGATAATGGAGAGAGGGGTGAGTGGGTGGATTGAGGGCTGGCTGGATGGTGGATGGTTGGAAGTTTGGACAGATAGGTGAATGGTGATGGATGGGAGGGTAGAAGGGTCAATGGGTGGATGAACAGGGGAATGAGCAGGAGGGAGGAAGGATGGATGGATGGATGGACGGATGGACAGACGACAGACAGGTGGGTCAATGCTAATGCTTGGATACATGGACGGATGAAGGATGGACGGATATATAAGTGGGTGGGTGGAGAAGTGCACGGGGTGGTGAGTGAAGAGATGGAGGTGTGGATGGGTGGGTGCCTTCGTTCTGACCTGGTGAGTCGCAGTCGGCAGGGTGGAGAGCGGGTAGGTGGAGGGTGCTTTGGAAGATCGTATGGCTCCTGAATGAATAGAACACGAACGTGTGATCATCCGGGAAAAGCCTGGCCTTCCCTGGGGGCGAACTGTCTTGCAAGATCCTGCGTGACAAGATGGCCTCGGTCTCCTTGCAGGGTTCCTGGACTTGCCGCAGCCCCCTGCCCTGTGGAGCGTCTCCTCTGGAGGCCAGGGTGAGCGGCGGGGATGGCCACGGAGATCAGCGCTCCGGGCCCGCAACGCGCCATCGGCAACGAGGAGTACAGCCTGTACAGCAGCCTGAGCGAGGAGGAGCTGGTCCAGATGGCCATCGAGCAGAGTCTGGCGGACAAGACCCGGGGCCCGGCCACTGCAGAGGCCACGGTGTCCTCGCGTGCCAACCACCAGCCTGCCCACTTCTACCCATGGACCAGGTAAGCGAGGTGACGTTGACTAGAGGAGCTGGGCCCGCCCGGGCCTCTGTCAGCTCATTCCAAACCAAGCCACCCTCTCTCCAGCACGCTTTTACGCCTTCATGATTCACGCCTGCCATCTAAACGTGTCGAGCTCTATGTGCCAAGTGTTGCAATGTGTGCTGTGCAGTTGTGCCCAGGTATCCTAGAGGGGCTGTTTCCGGGACCCCCACGAATATCCAGGTCTGCACAGATAATGTCAGTGCTGCGGAAATCTTTGTCGTTCTGTATTGTTCAGGGAATAGCGACAGGAAAAAACTGGTGCATGTTCGGTACACATGTTCTTTCCAAATACTTTTTTTATCTGAAGGAATGCAGAACCTACAGAGATCAAAGCCCAGCCGCACAAGCTTGGCCTCGGGTGATAATCCTCCCAAGGACCCTCCTGGCCATCCCCATGACTCGGCCCCATTTCGCCCGTGAGGAAACTGAAGCTCAGGGTAGCCCAGGTCGCACAGGGAGGAGCGGGGTGTGGGGACGGGACTGTCTGGCTGCAGCGCCCCGGCTGTGCCCCGTACCCTGGGCTTCCCACTGGAGTGAGGCAGGACCACGGTGCTCAGTGTGGCCGGCACTTCAGGCTGCTCAGCCGTCTCCCCTGGGAAGCCCATCCGGGTAGCCCAGGACGTCCACCCCAGAGCCATGCTGCCTCCTCCTCGGCTCCCCTGTCTAGACACTGCTCACCGTCCTGGCTCTGCACCTTCTAAGGACTGCACCACCCAGTGAGATATGGCATGAGCCACCACCACGCTCCACGGGCGCCATTAAACATTCAAACAGCTTTATTAAAAGAGTAAGGCGAGCCAGGTGCAGGGGCACATGCCTGGGATCCCAGCAGCTCGGGAGGCTGAGGCAGGAGGATCACAAGTTCAAAGCCAGCCTCAGCAACTTAGTGAGGCCCCCAGCAACTTAGTGAGATCCTGTCTCTAAATAAAAAAAAATTTTCAAAATGAACTGGGGATGTGGCTCAGTGAGTAAGCACCCCTGGGTTCAATTCCTAGTATATATTTTTTTAAAAAAAATAAAGATAAAAAGAGGCCAAGTTAATGTTTTTTATGTCTAGAATGCCATCGTTCCCACATGTAACCAATATAAAAATTATGAATGAGGTTTTTACCTAAACTTTATTTTTTCCCCCTGAAAAATCCAGTGTGTGTTTTTATCCCCATGGCACCTCTCAGTTCAGGCCAGTGGCGCGTCCAGCGCTCACTAGCCACACCTAGCCAGTGGCCGCTGACCGGACAGTGCACGTTCCCCTCTTTGTAGAAGGCAGGAGCCAGAGACATAATCAGCACTTGACCTTCAAGAGCTTTTAGAAGAGAAATACATAAACTGTAAAGATATTTTTCTCCTCAAAGTCAGGTCCGAGTGTGTACCTGGAGGAGGGTGGCGGGGGACAGGAGGTGCTGTGACAGCCACGCAGGCGTTAATGGGAGGGTCCAAGCTCCCTGTGTCCAGCACCAAGTCCTGGGGGACCCTGAGCAAGTCACTGCCTCTCAGAACCTCGGCTGCCCTCTCTCCTAACAGCAGCGGCAACAGAGAGCCTTTTCCCGATGTCAGTCCCAGGTGACAGGGGCTACGGTGGAGCAGGTTCATCTCTGCCCCATGCCCCCAGACACTCCCCGCGGCTCCCCACGTAGCTCTGGCCCTGGGAGGCTGGCCCACCTCCCCCGGGCTGGCTGGGCCCAAGCCCAGGACGCTGCTGCGGAGGGGCCCCCTCTGGAGAGGAAGGTGTGCGGCCCGCGGGGGAGCTGGAGCAGGGGAGGAGGAAGGTCGCCAGCTGGCCCTGACCGGAGAACAGAAACCCGGGGCCAGGACGGGGTTCACCACGGTGGGGCTCCAGGAGGCCCCTGGTTCCTGTTCTGGCCAGTTCAGCTGAAGTCAGCCCACAGGTTCCTCTTTCTCAGGAGGGGATCAGATAGTGACAGGGCCTGCTGCCCAGAGCCTCAGCTGCACGAAGCCACGTCCCCCAGGGGAGCTGCCGCCTTCTCCCCAGCACAGGGGCTCCTCCTGGGGGTCCTGGGGGTGCTGAGAGGGTCTTCTATGGGAAGGGTGAGGAGGCAGAGACCCACAGGGGCATTCGTCCAGCCTCCTGGGAAAAGAGTCTCCCAGGGGCCAGACCACTCTCCAGGGTCATCTAAGATCGCGGCCAAGCGGCGCGTGGAGCAGGGTTAGTGGCGTTTTCTCACTTTTCCTCCCAGTGCTGGGGATTGAACTGGGCCTCCCACATGCTAGGCAATGCTCTGTGCCACTGAGCCACGTCCCCAGCCATCTTCTCACTCTTGTGGGGACTGGGAACGTCAGTTCTGCCCCCTTGACCCTGGAAGGAAAAGCCTTGTAGTACTGTGTTTAGTCCCCCCACTCCTCTGCACCCCAGGGCACGCACGCCTGGCCGGTCACACCCGTGCACTGGCTGCTCCAGAACCCATGCAAGGGCGCGCCCCTGTGTCCACTTAACAGAGGACAAGACAGCAGAGGTGAGCGCTGAAAGGCAGCCGGTCGGCCCAGAGCTCAGGCTCCACCAGGTGCTGCTGATTCTGCTCCCTTTCCGCCCCCCCCCACCCAAGTGGGGCTCAGCCTCATTACATCCGCCTCCCACCCACAAGGGTTCAGGGTCCCCGAAGACACATGATTCACACACGCTGTGCTCAGGAGCCCCTTGGCTTGGGGGAGGTGGAGGACCGAGCGCCCCCACACCTCCACCCTGAAGGGCAGGTTCCGTCAGGTGGTCCAGAGCAAGTTCAGAAACAGGATGTCACCACCGCCACAGGGGCCCCTCTCATCCTTCAGGTCTCCCATGAAATGTCACCTCCTCAGCAGGTCCTGCCCAGGACACCTCCAGGTCAAGTGGATCCCGCCCCCGCGCCCTCTCTGGGGTTTCCTGAGTGGCTCTGGCTGCCAGCGCGGTGTCTGTTCTTCCGTGAGCCTGTGGACTCCTCCAGGGCAGGGACCTCGCGTCCCCTTCTCCATGAGCCCAGGCCTGACCCCTGGCAAGTGCCAGGTAGCTGTCTGAGAGCGAGTGAATGCAGGATTCAGGAAGGGAGGAGGCGGCCCTGGAGAGAGAACTGAGTTCGAGGTTCAGGTCCTGCTTACGCTTTCTGAGCCCCAGTGGACTTATGCCTAAAATGGCGAGACCTATTTTTTCCTGTTCAAGAATGCTTGCAAGATTCTTTTCCCCCGTTCTTTTCTTTTCTTTCATTATTATCATCATCATCATTTTCATTTTCATTTGTCTCGTGGTGCTGGGCCTCAAACCCAGGGCCCCACACAGAGGCAAGTGCGGAGCTACAGCCCCAGGTACAGTGCAGGACTCTGGGGAACACCAAATATGGGGACAGCTTGGTTTGACCTTCCCCTGCCTCCTCTGTGAGTACCTGGGGCACCAGCCCACGCTGCCTCTGCTTCAGAGGCCAACTCTCCTGTCACCCTGGGAAGGTCTCCTGAGAGTGTCCCCAACTACACTGGGACCCTCTTGGAGACAGGGAGCAGATACTGTACCCTTTTGTCCTCGGGGCTTAGCCTCATTATACACACTAACGGATGTTCTTTGGAAATAAAAGCACCTTGAAGCCAATAAGGATTCTTGGGCCTGTAGTTATCATCTTGTGATAATTACAGGAACGGAGTCTCTGGGATCCTAGAAAAGAAAGTCGGGTCAGCACCCCCTCCCAAGATAGATGCTCCCTTTCAAAGTCATTTTCCAAGTGGCTTCTGCCCTACCACACAGTGTGGCGGGACAAGGTTTGAAACATGCGCGGGAGTCACTTGTCAAACTCCCTGAGAGGCCGACCTGGCCCCCAGCATGCAGGGTGAGCAGGGTCCATGAAGAGACCACTCAGGGGTCCAGGAAGCTGGGTCTTGGCGGTCTTTAAACTTCTTCATTTTATTTAAGGCTACATTTCTAAGAAAAAGGAGGAAAATCTGAAGCAGGAACTTGCTTGGGCTGATACGTGCACAGCCGCCAACCACTCCAGCCAGACCACTGCCTTGCGGTGTGCTAGCCATGGGCCTGGTCTGCCCCGCACCTGAGTGGTCCCTACGCCGGAGGCCTGGAGGGTAAAGACCAGGGGCACATGGGGACCCAGCAGGGAGACTGCAGCTTGCTCAGTGTCGGAGGAAGGGAGCCAGGGTCTCACCTGGGCCTCTTCCAGGGCACGACCTGCAGCCACATCCCGCCGCCCAGGCCATGCTCCTCTCACCCTTGATGACTCAGCGGTGGTTGGCTCTGCTGGGAATTCCCCTGCCCTGGGGC